AAACCATGGATCCCAGTATAAAGAGAAGTTAGCCGTAGGGCTAATCTGAAATTTTAAATGCATCTTGATTTTCTGCGCAGTATTACAGATATTTTTCCAGAATTTAGTGGCTTTAGCAGTCGGAGGTTTCCAGGGAGATGTGTAATTATTCTTAAACCAGGAAGTAATCAAAGAGTTCTTAGTCAGCAAGTTCCAAATAAAAGAACAGTAATAACTATAATAAAGAGAGTCAATAGAGGCTATCCCTAAACCTCCCTTCTTCTTAGGAATGGTAGTTTTATCCCACGCAATCATATGAATTTTTTTACCATTAATATTCCCATGAAAAAGGAATTTAGAACACATTTTAGAAATAGATTTACAAATGCCTTTAGGAATAATAGATCCTTTTATCCAATAGGCAAGAGTATTAGAAATTGTAAACTTCAAGAATTGAACTATACCCGCAAGAGATAGAAGTCTCACCTTCCAGCCATCTAGCAGAGAAGTAATAATACCTAAAAGCTGTTGAAAATGATTAGCTTTAAGCCTTTCAGAAGATATAGGAATCCCTAGATACGTAAGGAAGCTATTCCTCTGAGAAATTCCCATAATACTACAAAATTGCTCATCATCCATAGAATGATGAGAAAAAATAATAGAACTTTTAGAGGAGTTTATACTGAGACCTGAAGCATCCGAAAAATCAGAAAGTATTTTATTTAAACTCCTGGCATAATGAGGCCTAGAAGACCCAAAAACCAGTAAATCATCAGCATACATGAGATGGTTAAAATTATTCCCATTAAAATTAAAACCAGCTTTGTTGTAACCCAGAGAAATCGATGATAAGCTGCAAGATAAAGCATCCATAACTAAACAGAAGAGAAGAGGCGATAAAGGACAACCTTGTCTAAGTCTAGAAGAAGAATTAAAAAACCCTTCCAAAGAACCATTCAAGCAAATCGAAAAATGGACATTGGAAATACAACTTTTGACCCATTTAATAAAAATATTGGGAAATCCTTTTTGCCTCATTCTATTTAATAAAAAACTACGGGAAACAGAATCAAAAGCTTTTCTAATATCTAGTTTAGCACAAAAAAGATTATTGGTAAAGTTAAAATCTCTAAGAACTTCAGAGGCAAGCAAAATGTTATCAGTAGAGTTCCTGTTCTGAATGAAACCACCCTGGCTCTCGTGAATAATGAAAGGTAAAATAGGCTTCATACGATTAGCAAGTAGTTTGGCAATAATCTTGTAGAACACATTACATAAAGAAATCGGCCTGAAATCATTAATGTTGTTAGCATGCTGTTTTTTGGGAATAAGAATAATGGCAGAAGCTTTTACCCCTTTGGTGAGATGACAAGTGGAGAAAAAACTATTGATGGCCTTACATAAATAATGCCCAATAATATGCCAAGATTTTTTATAGAAATCAAAAGTGTAACCATCAGGACCCGGGGCAGAGCTAGAGGAGCCATTAAAAACCACATTCTTAATCTCCAGATCAGAAAAAGGCGCCGTTAAAGAACCAATCTTATCCGAAGGAATCACATTACCAACAGGTATATTGAAATTGTTCTCCTTAACCGGCTTAGGAGAGTTATAAATCTCTTTGAAATGCTTAATAATCTCCTCAGCAATATCCACTTGATTATTAAAATTACCATTAGAAGTGGTAATTTCTTTAATAGCATTCACATTATTCCTAGCTCTGATATGAGCATATAAAAAACTAAGATCATTTTCACCATTTCTAAGCCATTTGGTCTTAGCTCTCTGAATCAACCAAGAAGACCAAGCCTTACTAAGAATATTGATATTGTCACAAGTGAGTTTGTACAGCCTATTTAAATCCATGTTTAATTAACGGATCCTTTTGCAAATCAGAAATATAACTAATCTGCTTATCTTTTAACAATTGCAAAGAATTTAAAATGTAGCACGAAGAAGACCAGTTTCTATTCTTCAAAGAATCCTTAAGAATCTGCAGAGACTTATAAAAGGCAGCAATGGGACTACAGTTAAAATGAACATTAAAGGCATTTAAAACCTCCTCCCAAAAACCAACCATATTGATCCAGAAATTTTTAAACAAGAATCTAGAAGGTTTTTTAACCCACTTATCAGCAAATAAAATTAAAGGAGAATGGTCCGAACAATGCGTAGGTAAGACTTTATAAAAAGCTTTAGGAAATCTAACAAGCATAGAATCGTTGATTAACATTCTATCTAATTTAATATGAATGGGGGATTCAGTCCTTTGATTAAACCAAGTGTAGAAAAGCCCTACCGAAGCTAAGTCTAACACACCACAATCAAAAATAATATTATTAAGCTCACCCAACTGGCTATTATGAACTTGATGACCACCAGACTTTTCTTCTTCATTTCTATAACAGTTAAAATCACCCATGATAACCCAGGCTGTGGATGGATCAGGGGTTAAACTCCTCAGCTGATTCCATAAAATACTCCTATCAGAGGCATTATTAGCAGCAGCTGATTCCATAAAGACATTGATTACCAAACATCTTTTAGGAGCTAGTTGGATTCAAGTGGGATTTAACAAATCTTGTATATCAAGATTTGCTAAATATCGAAGATGTAATATTGAAAACTTTTTAGTAAGAAAGATGTTAAATACTTGATTTAATATAGAAAAATATAATTTCTAAAACTATTTGTTCTAAGTAAAAGTTAATATTTAAAAAAATATATAAATTTATAAAAAATAAATTACAAAACAATATGCAATATGCTTATGTAAACTTATGTAAAAAAAATCAAATTTAGATTAAAAATTTTCTTATGAAGAATTATAATTATTTTTTATTTAAATATTAATTTAATAAACTTATGTAAGCAATATGCTCTTATCGATTAACAAATTAATATTTTCTCTTTAAATAAGTTATTCTTACTTAATTTAATCATTGATTTAAATATTAATTACCTATTTTACATTAACTTAAATATAAAATGATAGATATATGTTTAAATTATAAAACATTGTTTAAGTTAAAATAAATTTTAAGTTAAGAAAATATTTAGAAAAATAAAGTTAACAAATTTTGCCAATTTTGCGGGTGTGGGGGCTGGGTCTGGTTATGCAGAAAACGGGAGGCAGGTTTGCATTTTCTTAACAAACGCGGATGGGCTTTGCGTCTTCTTAAGAAAATGCAATCCTGCTTTGCATTTTCTTCAGAAAATGCAATCCTGCAATCCTGCTTTGCGTTTTCTTCAGAAAACGGGATCCCACTTCCCTTTTCTGCTCCTTTTTAAATTCATTTATTTTTATGCTCCTATTCTTAAAACAATGATGAACTTTGCTCCTTTTAAAAGTTCCCCCCCAATTAAATGCGTCCACCACCTGCTGCAATGCTATTACTGTAGTGCTGAAAGAATTTTGGATCCAATGCACATCTTGCAAACAACATCACATAACAATGTTTATAGCTAATTAAATTGATATTCAAAAAATGAATAATCAAGCTGATTAATAGTCCATCCCTACTTAAGCTTCGTTTGAATCAGTTTTTGTCGCTATTTTATACTATCTTAAAGAAAATTTTTGTACTAAGGTTTTGTTTGAGACTACTTTTTATCAACTTTGTTATTATTTTAAAAAAAAATACTATATAAAACAGTAAGAAAACTGTCACGACAAAGCCTAAAAAGCTATTTTAGAAAACAATAAAAAAGTAATTCCAAACGAAACTTTAGGCTTAATTTAGGATAGCATTTTGTTGCTTTCTAAAGAAGCTTTCTAGTATAAAATTTTTTACTAAACATTTATTTTAGAAAGCCTGAAAAAAGTCGTTCCAAATGAAACCTTAATGATTAGCACAAACCTATAAAATTTTACTAATTCAGTTAGGCAAAATGAAAGCAAATAAAAAAAAGGAGAAAAAAAAAATAAGAATGCCAACATATATTGTACTGCTATTATTTTATCTCCTCTAAATTAATTAGTTTGGTTAATAATGAAAAAATGATTACGTACTTGAAAGCAAATGTGCACAAATTTGGTATATATATATATATATATATGAGTAGCAATCAAATATTCAAATGAAGCCTATATATAAATTCATTTGATGAGTACTTTTACTTGCTAAAAAAATCGCTCTGACATAATTTTTAATATCTTAACTTGCACAAAGATTGAACATGCAGACAAAATAGAAATTACAAAAGGCACTAGAAAGTTTTACATGGAAAAACAAAAAAAAAATGAAAATGAAAAATCACGATGAATGATCCAATTAAAATAATCCACTATATTTGATACATTTGAATAAAATTGGAAAATTTTGTCCGGAATTCATAACTCACCATCTAATAGTTTATAATGGTCCCATTGATCATAAATTATTTACTCAATATTATAGTGCATTAATGACCTCAAAATTGAATGGTCATTAGCTCATTAGATTTATTTCGTTGATATGCCTATCTTGATTATATCCAAGCAAGAAGGCCACGTGGTCATGCCATAAATGATGAAGTTTTCATATTTGCTTCAAGTACTCTATTAGATTCATTTGGATCAAATTGGATTACTAGCAGTGTCATGGGATCATCTTCTTGGGATGTTTTGTTCAACTATAAATTTGTTAAAGTTGGATTTCAGATGATATTATATTTGATTCTAAAATTTTTTAGTTCAAACAATATTTTGAAATTCATGCTTATCTAGTAGAATTTATGGAGATATATCAAGCATAACAATACATACATATTAATATTGATATAACAACATTAATTGTAAATTAATGCATATATTAAGGATAAATAGTTTACATTAATTCAATCAACTTATGCAACTCATCATAGTGTATTAATTAGGAGTTTTATCTATCAATTAAGATGTCTTAAATTCAAATATTGCCTTTTACATGAATTTGATTGACCTAAATGCTAAAAAGAAAAAAAAAATCAATCAACTTCACATATTTGTGCCCACTAAGCACGCCTATAAACCAAAAAAAGAAGCAGGCAAAAGATTCTCATCCCGGCATGAACCTCCCAACTTTAAATCCAAATCCCAGAGAACAAAAACCAGCAAACAATACAGAGAAGTGGAGATCACCGCCACTCTCAGGCTTCGTTTGAGACAGTTTTCATTACTCTATGAAATTTTTTGCTAAAAAACTGCTGTAAAAAGTAGAAAGAAAGTTGTTCGGTCTCTCACAAACGCGAATAAAAGAAAGGAAGAAACCCAGAATATTCAACTTAATTATCTATATATCTACGTAAAAACCCAAATCAAGATTCCGCTGATTACCGATACCACCCTGATCATCTCAAAGTGGACACAATGGCAAGCGCAATCTTCGCCATCCGTTCAAATCCCCTGTCGTCCTCCGCCATCGGTGAATTCATATTCTCATCCCCAAACGCATCCTCGCAATTCTCCGCCGCGTCTACCGCCGCGCTCAGAAATGTAACGGCGTCGGGGTAATTTCTTGATTCAATCCCGGCAGAAGCTTCCCTGAGATGATCGGCAGCGTCGGAGTAGACATCGAGACAGACGCTAAGGCAATCGGAAGTTTTGGGTTCGGGACCCTCGTCAATCAGCTTCTGCACTTTCGCTGCGGTGCTCGTCGCGTTGACGATCGACAGGTGAGTGGCGATGAGGGCGAGGCCGTGGAGGTCGGCGGAGCGGCTGGAGGGGTCGGTGCTGAGAGAGGAGATGCAGATGTCAGGGGTGAGGTCGGAGCGGGAGGCGGTGATGGAGCGGCAAGTGTCTTCGAGGAGGGTGGCCGAGGAGGAGGGGAGGTGGAGGAGGAGGAGGAGGAGGAGGAGGAGCGGTTGTATAAGACAGGCCAAGGAGTGCATTATTGCCATTTTGGCTTTCGGGGTTGCGTTGCTCGCTCTGCAACTGGCTTGCTTTGCCTTGCCCGTCCTATTTATGGGATTCCTGCGAAATTTGTGGCCAGCAATGTATTATTTATGCGAGTTAAATATAATTTTAAAAGTTTATATTTAATCTATATTAAAAATATTTTATTTATGATTTTATACATCAAAACAGACTAATTCATAACAGGAACGGTTTGAAATTCCTTTTTATTTTTTGTTTGTTAATGTGGATATAAAAAGAAATTTTGTTTGATATCTTAGAAAATTTAAGGGGAGTATGTAATTAATATAAATTATGAGGAGTAATATGAAACAAATAAAATTTAAATAAGATGAAAACCCTAAAAATATTTGACTGTTCATATTTTATTAATTAAAAGCTTGGGGCATTGCATATAGATGGGAACAAAATTAATTAAAGATAAAATCGGACAAGTGGCTACACGAAGGCTATATATGTATGCAATTGTATTAATGCACCAATGGCGTTGTTGAGCATCAGTAATTCGCACGACCACCCAACTTGGTCCCCACTCAGCCCTGCATCTCCTCAAATGGGAACGTCACAGGCAGGTTTTGAAAGTAAATAGTATTTTTCTTAATTAAAATAAAACATTTAAAATTATTAGTGGAGACTGGAGAGTATATCTGTAGTTTATTAAAAAAATGTTAGAATATTATGATATAATTTATATTATCGTAAATTTAATATTTATTAGATTATTTTAAAATTAATACTGTAAATGAAGAATTTTTATTGTACTAATTTAAAAATAATTTTATTAGTTTTAAATTCATCTTAATATAAATTATATTAAATTCTTTGTGATATAGTTTTATTTTTTTTTAAATAAATATAATATAGAATGATCTAATCTTCATTCATGATCAAATGAGCATATATTCAACCCATAAAATTATTTGGCTCGAGCCAATTTAAGTTTTTCTTTGAGATTTTTTTTTTTGTTATTTTAATTTTCAGATAACAATCATAATTGGAGGAGCTATAGTGGAGAGCCCGAGGGCCATAGACCACACTGGCATGAGACAGCATGGATTTTTTTAATGAAATGCTAAATAAGAAAAAATAAAGTTTTTAAAACAAAAATCCTAACAATCGCTTGAAAAGTAAGTTGAGTAATGCTGGCTCCCTGTGTTGTCCCTTTCTACTCCTCCGCTTCTTTCTCTCAAGAAATTTCAGCACATTTTCCGACGGTAATTTCGTTGGCCCTTTCGACGAGTGCTATTTAACTGAAAAATCCTTCAGAAATTCTCAATTTTCCTGTAGTGTGACAAGTATCTTTTTTTTTATTAAAAAAGAAAAAGAAAAATTACTACATCTTATTCATATATAAGGGACTAATATTTATTTACTTTATATTTATAAGCACTTTAAATGTGTTATGGCTCTTTGAAATATATTTAATTTTGTATAATATAGATTTTAAAGGACAAAAAAAAAACAAATTAGACCTCATCTTTACCACTAAGATTGTCAAAAATACGCTATGTTTGTATTCAGCTTGATACATAATTTTTTTAAAAAAAGGCTTTATACATAATTAGTTCAATCATCTATTTAACGAGGCAATATTTAGTATGTATATATATATATATATATATAAAATTAAAATATGGCAAAGAAATCTCACTTTAAAAATAAATGAAACCAATTCTACACATTTTCTCTCAAATCCTTTAATGAAATCTACAAATTCAAATGGTGTAAGATAGGAATATTATCAAATTCTCCATATTTCTTTTTGCTACTTTGGCATGCTATCAAAGTGTAGCAATTCGATAATAAACATATCAAGTTTGGAAATTGTTTGGTCGTCCAATTTATGGTTCAAACTTTTTCAAAGATGCTTTAGGTCTTCAATTTGGACTCGGATTGAGTTGAAAATTGTGTCATTGGAGTTGTCTTTTCAAGACGTTTAGTTCGACTGTAAGTTTGTTTTGATTAGAGTTCATATGGTTATGAATTTAATTTTAGAAGTTTCAAACTTAATTTTATCTCGAGACTTGTGTCCGATGAAGATAACTTGTGATTATAAAAACTCTTTTTCAGTCAACTTTTACTCAAAATTAATGCAATGACATTAAAAGTGCACTGATGTGATTCTAAATAATTTAAATCAAGCATTCAAAAATATAGTTGAAAATTCCATAACAAAAATTGAGGCAATTATTTTCAAATCTTCTATGAAATTTTCTCATTATCTTTTCTTTCAGTTATCACAATCACACATCACAACCGATTGGTGAAGCATGATTTATGAAAAAAAAAAAAAGGCTACCTTAAAAACGAGCAAGTCCCAACAAAGAATGGCCAGTAACCTGAATTAATGTTCTAACAGAAACAAACGTCTGATCGGTGTGGGCGAAGTCGAAGAGACTGGACAGCAAGGAACACCGTCGAAGCAGATGAAGTCGAAGAGCGACGAATAGGCAAAGAAGAGGAGAATCAACCCAGAGGAAGTAGCAACGAAATGCATAGGCGGATCCAACCAGAAGGAACATCGGCAAAGCAGGCAAAGTTGTAGAGCAAGGGGCGTCGTCGAAGTGATCAAAGTCAAAGAGCAACGAACAAGCAATGGACCTCTTTGAAGCAGTAGAACTCAAAGAGCTACGAATAAGCCATAGAAGAGGAAAATAAAACCCAATCACTTAAGTAGGACGCTTTGTGACAGAATTTCATCGGATATTTATGCCGAAAATTCGGCCGCAAATTCTCTCAGTAAATTCCAGCACATTTTCCGCTGGTAATTCCTTTGGCCGTTCCGACGAGTGCTATTCAACTGAAAAAATTCGTCAGAAATTCTCATTTTTCATGTAGTGTGACAAGTATCTTTTTTTCACTAAATGGAAGAAAAATTGCACCATCTTATTCAAATATAAGGGACTAATATTTCTTTACTTTATATTTTTAAGCACTTTAAATGTGTTATGACTCTTTAAAATATATTTAATTTTGTTTAATATAGATTTTAAAGGAAAAAAAAAATTAATCCTCTTTATCACTAAGATTGTCAAAAAGATGATGTGCTTGTAATCTTGTATTCAGCTTGATACATATTTAGTTCAATCATATTTATTTTAGGAACCAAATACAAATAAATTCTTATTAAATCAAATCACGCTCAATCTTTATTTAATTATGCTTATATATACATAAAAAATATGGCAAAACAATCTCACTTTTAAAAAACAATGAAACCAATTCTGCACATTTTCTCTCTAATCCTTTTAATGAAATCTACTAATTCAAAGGGTATAAGATAGGAATATTATCAATTTCTCCATAATTCTCTTTGCTACTTTTGGCATGCTATCAAAGTGTAGCAATTTGTGTTTATACTTTACCATACTTGGTAGGAGAAATTAAATGTTGTAATACATAGCTTCCTTACATATCACATCTCTCAGGTATATATATAGCACCAGAAATCTATTAAAAAATCATTCAAAAAGAAAATAAACTTCCACCGTTAAATCTACAATCATTTTTCTTTTTTCATGAACGGTAATATGTTGACATTTTAGTCATTATATGCTTCAGTTTGGTATCATGACATCTGAGGCCGAGATATATGTTAATGTTGGTGTTGAGCTTAGCACTTTGGCTCCACTTTAATTTCTTCACTTGCAAAAACTCTAAGAAATTGTCTCCAATTTATCTCATTCATGCCATGCCAAATAGTGAACAAATTCCATTTTTACCAAAGAACTCTACATCCATTGGACAACATCGATCATAATTTTTTTATTGATATGTGAAGAAACTAATACATGTGATTCAAACATTTAATTAGAACTTTGGAAGGTATAATTACAAAATATTTGAAAAATAAAGAAAAAGAAGAACCCAATCTCTAAACCTGAAAAAATAACATTGCCTAATAACCTTCTTTGAACAACAATGAGAAATATATATGTGTTTCAATGCAACAGCTAACACATGCAAAAACCACGGAAGGTCCGAACAAGATCTGGTCAAACAACAGCATGAGAATCATTCTCTTTGCAATAAAATGTAGGTAAAGATCAGAAAACGAGAGAAAGAAATTAACCTTTCTCTATTTCAATCTCACATACCTTCTTCTCTTTCCAAATGAAGAAGACAATGCCCAAATGTAAAACCCTAGCTCCTTCTTTCTTCCAACCCAATGCCTCTCCTTCTTCATCGCTTCGCCTCTTCTTGTTCTCTTCGTGCCTCTATTACTCTGAGAGCTGTTGCAGTATCTCCGAATTTGAGCCCAGGTCCACGTCGCCACTGCTGTTGTTTGGATATGTCATTGCTAGGTGCAGCTCCAACAAGTCCGCAAGTGGGTGGGGGTACCTTTATTCAATAATATTATTTTGTTCTTCATAAATAATTTGATGAGGTCGATATATTTTATCAGGATTTAAGCATCTTGAGTCATCTGGATTCAAATGGGATGATTACATCAGTGACATCAATGCAAGCCATCAATGACAAGGTTTTGTCTGTGGATTTCAGTGACTACACTACATAGATAGAGTCAGCAGACTCTCAGGCATCAAACAAGGATGGTGTACTGGTTGTTTTGACTGGTTCCTTGACAGCAAGGGATAACGTACTGTGCAAATTTACCCATTCATTTTTCCTTGCTCCACAGGAGTGTTGGTTATGTTGTCCTAAATGATATTTTTAGGTTCGTGGACCCAAGCCAACCAAGGGAAGGGTGCGAATCAAGTTATAGTTAGGTTCATGGACCCAAGCCAAACAAGAGGTGGGTGCGAATCTAGTTATAGTTAATGGGGCAAATGGTGATTCAGCAGATCCTTTGACCCCCGAACTCTTGGTTCAGGAGCCTCAAGTAGTGGCCACTTTAGTTGAACATGAAACTTTACATGTTGTGGAAGATATTGATAATGGTGAGGAAGTTATTAAACCTATGGAACATTATCCTCCAGAAGCATCAATTGTGGTTGCTGTAGATCCAGAGGTCCATGTGGGTCAATCTGATGACCAACTAGTTTCTGAAGTTGCTGTTTCTGTCTCTCAATAGGATGAGCCTA